CATTTTTTCTATCTTCTTAATTCACAATTACCTTATTTAAATATTTACATTAACTTGTAATGAACAAAAAAATAAATAAACTCAGAGAAAATAAAAAAATTATTCTTGCCTACTCACACAATTAAATTTGAGTAAAACAATGATCTGTTTGGAAATATTTAAAACCAAAATCAATTTCACGTTTAGCATTACAAATTTGGAATGCATAAAATAAGACTGAATGAATTAGCTGCTTTTCTCTACAATTCATATATTCTTTATTATAAACATTTTTATTTTTCAACCCTTTATTAACTTCTATTTTATAATTATTAATAACTAAAAACTCGCCTGTTATAACTCAAAGGCATAATATGTTTATATAAAACTTCATAAAATCATTTTTTTACATATCATTAATTTAAATATTTTTTAAAATCAAATGCAATCATTCGAAATTCAATAGAAATCAAGGACATAAGAGGATTTACAATTGGCTTCTCATGATCTCTTAAGTATGGAGTAAAAAAAAATATTTTTAATTTTATAGCTCACTTTAATATAAAGTAAAAGAGGAGGGTTGTGAAAGCAAGCAAGAGCTATTAGGAATCTTAGCTGGTATCAGAGATATTGAAGAATCAATATTTAAAGTGATTCTTGAAATATTGAGAAAAGAAAAAATTGCAGATCTTTTAGAATTTCTTAAAGAAAAAGAAAATCTAAAAAATTTAGATGAGGATGTGAAAAATAAAATTCAAAAAATAACAAATGTGATGAAAAACATCTTAGAACATGACTATAGTCAAAAGAATTACTCATTGGAGGTTTCAGAAGAAATCAAAAAAGAACTAATTATGAAAATACCAAAAGATAAAAACCTCATCGAATTTTTGAAATTCCTTGTTTATCTTACAACCTTTGATGACAAATTTATTTGTTGTGGATCTAATTCATTACACTTATTAATTGAAATGAAGGTTGATTTGACTAACCAGTCTTTCGAGAAAATAAGGATTTAGAATACTTCTTTAATAGGAGGAAACTTTTTAAGATGTAATTTAAATGAATCGGAATTTAATAATGTGGATTTAAGTGGAGTAAATTTGAATGAAGCACTGCTATTCAATTGTAAATGGAAGAATATTAAAATTCATGAATTGAATAGATTGGATGGTCATAAGGATCAAGTTTATGCTGTATGCTTTTCTCCTGATGGTAATATATTAGCATCTGGTAGTGGCGATAGTTCGATATGTTTATGGGATGTTAAGTCAGGATAATAAAAAGCAAAATTAAATGGTCATAGTAATAATTATGTTCGATCAGTTTCTTTTTCTCCTGATGGAACTAAATTAGCATCGGGTGGTTATGATTGTATCCGTTTATGGGATGTTCATACAAGATAAGAAAAATTCAAAATGGAAGGTCATTAATTTGGAGTCAACTCAACATGCTTCTCTCCTGACGGAATTATATTGGCATCTGGTAGTGGAGATTGCTCTATTTGCTTATGGGATGTTGAAACAGGATAATAAAAATCTAAAATGAGTGGTCATCATAATACAGTTTGGTCAGTATGTTTCTCTCCTGAAGGAACTAAATTAGCATCTGGCAGTGAAGATAAGTTTGTTTGCTTATGGGATTTTAAGACAGGATAATAAAGAGCCAAAATGAAAGGTCATTAATAGGGAGTCAACTCAACATGCTTCTCTCCTGATGGAACTATATTAGCATCTGGTAGTGGAGATTATTCTATTTTTTTATGGGATGTTTAGACAGGATAAGTAAAATCAAAATTAGAAGGCCATATTAATATTGTATGGTCAGTATGTTTTTCTCCTGATGGAACAACATTAGCATCTGGTAGTGACGATAAGTCTATTCACCTATGGGATGTTAAGACAGGATAATAAAAAGCCAAGTTTGATGGTCATTCTAGTAGTGTCTACTCAATTTGCTTCTCTCCTGATGGAGGTACAATTTCATCTGGTAGCAATGATAAGTCTATCCGTTTATGGGATGTTAAGACAGGTTATTAACAAGCCAAATTGGATGGTCATGATAATTGTATCAATTCAGTGTGCTTCTCATCAGATGAAACAACTTTAGCTAGTGGTGATGATAAGTCTATCCGCTTATGGGATATTAAGACAGGATAATAAAAAACTAAATTAGATGGACATACTAATTAAATTCGATAAATATGTTTCTCTCCTAATGGAACTTTATTAGCAT